ACCTAACTGTTACTGATCGAGTCATTAAATCACGTGATATCCCACGACTATATGCGCATAAACTTAAGATACTTTTCCACTTTGTTCTTCAAAGGGGTTCACTTGGTACTTGTGATAAAGAATTGTATCCAAATTTTAACTTTAAAAATTCTCTAACGAGATAGATTACATAAAATTGACAATAATGCTCTAACGTTTTTATTTTTTTTTCAAAAATAGTGATATATTAGCATGCCATAACAGCTCTTGATCCTAAAATATGTTAATAGATGTGTCTAACAAAATATCCTGTGCTTCAGAGAATGCGGTGCAGGATAACATGAAATACTTCAAAGCCGTTAACAGCAACAAAATTTAGGTCAAATAATACCAACAAGCATATGTAACTGCCAAGTAAATTATACGTGAGTCACTTTTTCTATTCCCCACAGTTTTACTAGGCCACAAATTAGTTCAACGCAATTTAATCGAAATAAATAGGGAAAAAATAACACATACGTACGCATATATTAAAAAAAATTCACTGAGAGTAAATGACAACAGTTTATTTGTTGTGTCTCTTAAGGATTTTCGCATGAACTGGCAGGATGCAGAAGACAAGCTGACGCCACTGCCGTAGACGATGGCGACCCAAATCAAGAAAACTAAATATTTATTGCCTGAGAATGTAACGATGGATGTAATGAAAGCGAAATAATATCATATAAAAGTTTATATGTAAAACTAGACCACAAAAATAGCAGAGAGAGTAAGGTTTCCAAATGTACATACAAACTTTTGAAGCCAAATAGCAAACAATGAAAAAGTTTGTGGCTTAACACAAAAAAAAAAAAACAACAATACATGTTTACATATTTACATTTGTTAATACTCTAACAAAAATATGCAAACAAACAATTGACTGAGGCTTTTAAGCAAACACACAAATATTTGCATTAAATTTCTGGTAAGCGGTCTGAATTTCAGAAACATTTTTGGTACGTTTTTGCTTATTTAAGAAGGTTATAGTTTGGAAAATTGTTGTCTGCTATAAAAGAGTTTGGCAAAGGGAAAAAACATGCGTTTATGAAGCGCTCAATTGAGTCAATAATGTGTATGTGCAGCAAATTTGCTAATTGACTCAATTAAGATGACGTCTGAAACGCCTACTAAATTTTTTCATACCAATTTAAGGTTATGAGTTAAAACATAAATTCAGCAACTTTTCTATGCGGAAAAGAATTTATAAAGTTGTTGAGAATTATTATTAGTGTGTGTTAGTGGCGAATACAACGATGAGTAATCAGACACAAAATTGGTTTCAGCCAAAAATTGAAACCAACGAATTTATCGTATGAATATTTTTATTTTAAAAATATCTTAATTTTAAAAAACAAATTTAAATTATATTAGAATATTTTTTTATATTTTCAAACAAAATGGAGTACCTTCAATCGAAACATTTGATTTTAGAATTTACTTTGCGGAAAAAAATTGAGTAAAACTCATGGCGCGCTGTTCGTATATTACATTTTTCTAATCAATTATCTTTCATAAACATTTCCTGTTTCGTGGCAGCCGAAATTGTGTAAGCAGCGACAGCTAGTGGGTGTAGCTGAAGGCGAATTCATAAAGAACTTCAGCGCACAAAACATTCTCGCCAGCGGCGTGCAGCAATCTGTTTGTTCATGGCGCCATTCAAGCGTCTTTAATGCCATATTTATTGTGCAAAGCTGGCGTAATAGTTGGAGGCATGACGGAAAGGCAGAACATAGCTACATAATCAAATCTAGAAAGCTCTTTGTTACTACGTGAATTATAGGAAATTGATTTTCCTTAACGGCTCGTAGCTTTTGTGGTAGGAATTTGATAAACCGGAAATTTAATTAAAAATATACGCGAAATATATGTAAAGCAAGTGGTGGTGAAAATATTTTTTAAGTGGTACTAATCTAAATTTGAAAGGTTTCGGCAAAAAGGCGAAAAAGATGGGTAAAGAAAACATTTGTGGTGGTTCTCTTGCACTCACCAGCACTGTAGTTATTATGCCCTGACCAAGCAGCTGCTCATTTGTCGGAACCGCTGATATTAGACCACTATAAGATATAACTGTCATAGAAACTGAACGATCAAAATCAAATGGAACAATTTTTTTACTTGAAAGATATATTCAGGAAATTGGCCATAGAATATTGCTCAAGGTAACGCTATAATCTTCGAAGAAATTGTTCAGATCGGACCATTATACTATATAGCTGCTATACAAGCCAACAGAACCAAGTCAATTCCTTGTATAAACAACTTTTTTATTTGACAAATATCTTCACGAACAATATCCGTACAAATTGTTCAGATCGGACCATTATACTATATAACTGCTATACAAGCCAACAGAACCAAGTCAACCTTTTTTATTTGACATAATATCTTCACGAACAATATCCATACAAATTGTTCGGATCGGTCCACCATAGCATATAGCTGCCATACCAACTTGATTCAAATCAATAAAAACGATATTTTTATACCCTTTAATGCTATAAGAAATGGACTTGTGAAGGGTATTATAGATTCGGTGCAGACTTTTATAACCCTTCACTAAATCATAATAACTGTATTTCACAAATTAAAAACTGAATACCTTCAGCTACTCATGCTCTCCATGACAGTTAAGCCGTCATATGAGTGTTATTTAGTGGTATTACACCAAGCAATTTTGCCAAAATCCCTATCAATGCAACAAAATCGCACAAACAATAACTCGGGGTTAGATAAAACATGCTCAACAATGCACCAGCCAAATGTTGACGAGCATAAGATTGCTGGCTGGTTAGCAGCAGTCAGGCGCACGAACTATTTGGTTTGTTGCCAATCGACATATTAGCCTTTTTGACTAGTCACACACATGCACACATGACTGCATACACATTATATACGCGTGTCTGAACACTTAAGCTAGTTTCCATAACGGATAAATGACATTGGCACATATTTGCGGTGAAATGGGGATACACCCTTCGCCGCTGTCATACATGCACACACATGTAATGACTAGCAGTGACCCACCCACTTTGTGAACAAGCGTGTGTGTGTATGAGTGTGTGTTTGAGCATCGATTTGTTGCAGGGTTGCTTGGCTAGAGCGCTGTGAGGGGTTTAGGCTTGTTTACACAGTTGCTTAAGTTGTTGTTGTTGCTCTGCGCTCCTTGAGATAATTATTACTAAGCACTTGACATACCACCGTGACAAGGCGGAAAAATATGATTGAGTTAAATGTTTTGAAAGCGGATGAGAGCGACGCAAATGCCTTTGCGGGTAGACGAACTGAAAATTTTCGCAATTAGAAATTATTATTTATTGTGCGGAAAAAGCTGTGTGAAGATGAGCTCAGCAAAGTGATTGTGCAAAGCATTGTAGTGTAATTAAAAACAAAATTGTTTACGAATGTTGGTAGCTAACGAGTTTTTTGTGATGTATATGTGTGAGTACATAACATACTCGTGGGTATGTGTGTGTATATGTGTGTTTGTATTAGAGAAAATACCCTCGCAAATATTTTTGTGTATTATTATACTCATACATACTTATAGCTACATAACAGTTAATTAGTTTGTTGTTTATATGACACAGACATACGTACATACTCGTACATAGGTAGAAACTAATCACTTTTAATCTCAAAACTAGTTATTTGCGTATTGGGATTTAATTTATCATTGAGATATCAATGAAATATTAATTTTTTACAGTCATACATTTTTTTTAAAAATATTTCTAATAAAAAATAATTTTTTTAATTAAATATATTTTTTTTTTAACTATAATTATTTTTTCAAAATAATAAATGTTCAAAATAACATGAATTTTTAAAATTTATATAGTATTTTGTTTCATTAATATTTAGTTTTTACCACGATTACCACATGAATAAATTAAATAAATGTATATAACGAAATTTTTTATCTAAGAAACTTTGAGTTTTGGATTAGATAAAAACTAGAAATTAAAAAAATAATATCTATTCTTAAGCCTTAGAAATATTTATCAAATCATAGACTGATAAGCAAACTCATTAAAAATTAAAAAAAAAGTAATAATAATAACAATGATAGTATTATTCACTCAAATTAAAATAAACACAAATGGAAGTCATTAACAATTTCTGTGAAATTTGAAACCACAAAAAATTTTTTGGATATGGTTGTTTACGAGCATAATATGAAACAATTATATACCACAACCACAACTTCCGACAGTAATTTAATATTTACAACAATACAAGCTTGGACATTCAGAAAAATTATATAAACATTGAAACATTGCTTTTGTTTTTGTGGAACATATAGAGATGAAATATATGTATTTTCATATTAAATATAATATTAATATTTAATCACATAACCAAAGCCTTCAATTCCCACCAAATGTACCAAAATGTCATAAAATTATTTTTAAAAAATTATCAGAATTTACGAGTACAAATTTAAAAATATCGTTGATGTAGATTAGTCCTAACCTTTTTTTCTTAAAAAAAATTTTTTTTTTTAATTCGCAGAAAAAACGTAGAAAACATTCGATAAATTGAAGCCTCTTCATTGATACATGTTTAAAAATAAAAATATATATATATTGTTAGAAAGAGCTTTCAGCTTAGACTTGGTTTGAATTTCTACTCAAGGCGAAACCTAGCGCAATTTATTCCTAGTAATTTAAGAAAAAACCCAGTGTTTGCAATTATAATGCTACAGCTACTGACAAAAAACTGCAATGCAATTTTTTTTAAATACAGTAACAACAATAATGCAATAGTGAGATTACGAAATCACTTTCTTAAGCCATGCAAGATTTAGCTTTGCTGTTGCATTTGCTTTTGAACTAAATTGAAAAGAAAAAATACCAACTAATAATAACTTACGCGCAGCTGGAAAATATAACCATAAATTACCCTATGATTTACCCATTTCATGCCTACTTTACGCAAAACCAATCAATATTCATAAAATAAAAATCACATTTACTCACCAAAACATTTTTCTGATTCTCCTTATCCAACAGGAATTCCATACTTTTGTGCGGACGACGCACTGACGCTATCTGACTGCCATTAGCTGTTGTTGATTTGATGACAACAGCGCCACCGCCCCTGCCACCAACATCGCGACCGTAAACGCGCACATCGTCATCATCCTCTTCCAAATCTATATTGCCGCCGCAAGCCGCGCTCATGTTCAAACGTTTCGCAACACCGCCACCGCCGGCGCCACCAACAACAACGTACTGCTGTTGATGCTGCTGTGGACCGACAATGTCCACCAGCGAACGCGTCTTACCCGATATGACCGTTTCGTGTGTGTCCAAATTTGTTTCGATTAAACCGATTTTGTTATTGTTATTGGTATGTTGCAAATACGCGTTCGACATGGTTGTGTAGGTGGGCGCGCCAATGCGTCCGTTACCGTCGCCGGCATTCGACACGCCGGAACCGGTTGCGCCGGTTAATAACATAACGGTTTCGCGTGTAACACCCGGCAAGGAGTAGGCAACTTGAGCCGTCTGTTGTGCCGCCGAGGGAGACTCGTATTCCACCGAATATTTGCGATCTGTTGTTGCTGTTATGACGCTCGCGTTTTCACTCGAATTATCGCCGTCACGTTGATTATTATTTTTTTCCGTTTGTTGTGACACTACTTCCGTAACGACCGACGTATTTTGCACATTAGCGGGCGCGTCGTTTGTTGCCGTTGCTGTGACTGCGCTACCGTTCGCTTGCAAGCCCGCATCTAACTGTTTTTCGATTTCATCGTCATCGTAGTACGAACGTTCGGCATCGAGGAAATCAGTGTAGAATTGACTACGCGACTTGAAGTTGGCTGCATTCGACATGCCATTGCCATCCTTGTGCGCATGTGCCGGCACACCGCCGCCACCGCCCTGTCGTCGGCCACTGCCAAAGTACTTGGTAATTATGGTCGTGCTAGAGGTGGTGGCCGGTATGCTGCCGTAACGATAGGGCTTCGGCGGTTTGCCGGTAACTAGCGGCTCACCGTTACGGTCTGTGATGGCGCGCATAGTATTCTTGTCACTGCCGCCTTTGTTCGAGTTGATAGTGACGGGTTTCGCGTTGCTATTAGTGGCGCTGTTGTTATTATTTGCGTTTGTTGTTGTTATTGCTGCCGGCTTTTGTTGATTGTTGGCGTCAATTTTTGCATCAGCTGGGCTGAAGTTGGCCGGTAGAGTAGCCGAATTGCTACCATTCGCTGAAGTTGTTGGTGATGTTAGTTGTTGCTGCTCTTGTTCTGGTAGTGTACCTGCTGGTGGTATAGGACCTTTTAGCGGTATGTAAATATAGTCGGGGCCGCTTTGAGCGGTTGCACGTTTAGTGTGGTTTTGCGTTGACGACATTTGTTGTACAGACGCTTGTTTTTGTTGCTGTTGTTTTTCTTGTTGTTGTTTTATATGTGGCAATGTTGCTGACTTACCGAAACTTTTACGCATTGTAGACTTGTCCACACCGTTTAGCTCGCCGCCGTCTTGCTGCTCCTGCAATTGCTGCTGTTGTTGCTGCTGCTGTTGTTGTTGTTGCAATTGTTTTTTGTTTTTGCGTCTCAGTGAGAAACGCAAGCCATGCGCGAAACGCGATAGGAAACCCTTCGAACTTGGATGTTTTTCATCCTTGAATTTCTTGTTTAAGAGCTCATTGTTGTTGTTGGCCGCCGCAGCACCGCTGCCGCCTTGGCCACCCACACCCACCGTTGCGTTCGACATTCTGTGGCGTGTCGTTTGCGCGCCACTCAAATTACCCACACTTTTCGCACGCCTATCGGCAACGCCCACACCACCCCCTATAGCACTTTCACACTTGGGCCCGTTATTTTGACCGTAATATTGCTCACTTTCGCGACGCTCGAACTTGTCGAGCAGCTGCTGCGACGCGTAGAGTATGTGATGCGCGCGATTTATGGGCGGCTCACTCAGTATCGGCAGGTGTATGCTGAGCGGACGCGTTTGCTCTGCACCGCTAACAGCCGAGTTATAACTATCGCTGGCGTTATCGTTGACGCTGACCGCACCGCCACTTGCACCACTAAAACTGCTATTCCGATTAGATTGCGCGTCGTTGTCGCTTTCGTCGTTAACAACGTTATTTTCGCTAGTTGCTTTTACTGTGGCCTTCGTTTGTTCCGCGTGCACAACACTCGATGTTGCATCAATGATCGTCGATTTGTGACTAACATTCGCTTGCGCTGTTCCAGCGTTCATCGTTTCACTGTAGTCAGCATTATTAACAGCGGCGTCGTCATTTGAGTCGAGTTTTAATGCTTCTCCCTTTGTCTCATCAGTGGCTTTGTGCGATGTTTTTTCCACGCCACTGCTGTTCTCTACCTGCTCTTGAGCGTCACGCTCTTCCAAGCCTATTGGACGCTCTTGGAAACGCGCGCGTTCTCTCTCTTGCTCTTCGGCCTCTTCTCGCTCTCTTACAATAATCATTGCTCTTACTTTTTCAATAGGCACCGCTCTTATTTGGGCGACACTCTTTGTTGCATTGCCTGCGGCGAGCGCGCTCTTCAATTCTGCGGCATAGCGCGCCGCAATCATTTCATTAACGCGTGTATTTTGTATTACCGTGGCATCTGCATTGTCCAGCAGTTCATCGTCTGTATCATCTTGCTTCTCAGCCCCCTCCGTATGCTGACTATCCAACTGATGGTGTTGTTCACCATATTCTTCAGAGGATTGCTCTTGCCAGGAGTATTGTGAGACCACCGGACAGAAGCTGACTTCCTTGCTGAAAGAGGTGCGCGAGCCCGCGGGCAGCAGTATACCCAACGGCTTCTGTGTGGCGGTCAGCGGCAGCTGATGCATTGAAGTGTGTGCGCTCGATACGTACATGTCGTCCTCCACATCGTTCGCGTGCGGATCGTAGGCGTTTAGGTTCGGCGTGCTAGATACCATATTGCGCTGTTTCGCCGCATTCGCTTGCGAGTGGAAGCGACGCTTCGGTATCGAATTCGATTTATTCAACTCACTGTTGCTTAACTCTTTCGGATCAAAGTTGCATTTCTCCAAACTCTGCGTATAGCTGGTGTGCAAATTGGTGGGATCCTGATCGAAGGTCTTGCCGCAGGCCACACTTGATGTATTTGTAGTTGACGTATCACTCGAAAATAATGGCGCGTCGCTAATTAAACTGTGTGTGGCCTCGGATTTACGTGCGTGCTTCTGACGTGCGGGCGGCATTCGTATGGTCAATTGCACATGCTGCGCCACGGCCACTTGCTCGTCGGTGCAACCCACACTACCGCCAACATTGTCCATATCTGAATAACTCGAGTTGGAGTGTTTGCGCTGACGAGGCGGTGGACGCGGGCTGCAGCTCGGACGTTCCAGCATGTCTTCGGGTGTGGGCAAGAGTAAATGCTCGTCGGTGTCAATCGGTTTATCATTGAGAATCGAAACGTTGCGATCGTATATTTGTGACAGTTCATCCAGCAAGAAATTGCCTTTGCAAATTATATGTTCATAATCAGCACTGGCCGTGCTTTTGGGCGTGTCCATGTTTTCGTTGTCCAAGTCGCGTTCGCCTTCGCCCTCACTTGTTAAGTAGTCGCAGCAACGTTTCAAATTAGTCTGTGCACTAATGCGCTGTTTATCCGCCTCCAACTGTTTACCTGAATAGTCAAGTTGCGTCAGGTCCTGATAGCTAGCGTTCATATAACCTAGCGATTGACTGGTCCAATGACGGTGACCTTCACGTTGCGTTCTATAACCGAACGCCGCCTCGAAACGTTGTAGATTGCGTTCACGCCGTTCGGACCAACTGCAAGTACGCCGTATTCGGTACGAGGTCGCGGTGTCGAAGAAATCCTCGTATTCGGCTTCGTCCACACTCGAATTACTGGGACTAGTTTCACTTGTGGCTTCCTCTTCAGGCGATGATTTGCTCTGTCTATAACGTGTATTAACACGTTTTCTACGCCCCAATTTATTCAGTTCGCTTGGCACACTCGATATGCGCCGTCCGCCACTGACGTAACCACCAAAACCACCAATAACACTACTTTCGGTTGCACCAATACATCCACCACTACCGCCGCCAGTGTTGTTGTAGACACGTTGTCGTTTTCTAGCCTCTGGCGTGGACTCGTTGTCCGTTTCGTCACTGTGACTTTCACGCGCCGATGCTGAGCCCGATGCCGATGTCGATGTCGTACTAAAGTCCGAATCGTCTAAATTGTATGTTGCTATATTTGCGCCACCGTCCGACCGTTCGATGTCTATAAGTTCATGTTCTGACGTCTTCGTTTCGCTCCGTGCATGCTCCAGACTGTAGCCGTTGGTATCGTGTGCGTCGTTCGCGTCGCTTCCGTTGCGTTTCTCCGACAAAACGGGAAAATATGTTTCGATAACTGTATCGCAGGTTATAGGACTTAACGCGTCGCGTATATCTGGCAAACTGTTTCGTAGACTCGCACAAAAATTCTCGAGAGTCGAACGCTTTTGCGCCGCTAATAGCTCTAACTTAGCGGATGCTGGCGATTCACGCTGCGTTCGTTCTAATTGTAATTGTAGTTGTTGTTGTTGCTGTTGCAATTGCCTCGGTGTTGGTAGCCATGTGAACGAAGCGGCCGATGCGCATGTGGATGCTGAGGTGTTGGATCGCGCGGTGCCGCAACTGCTGCCTGATGACGCCGACGCCGCGGACGACGACGAGACATCAGACGCCACAGGCGAAGGAGAGTGCGCCAACGAGCGTCGCTGTTCGAGCAACAAAGCGGCAGCGGTCGCCTCTCGCGTTGGGCTATTTTTAACACGCTCATATGTTGGACACGCCGATACATGCGATACATAGCGCGAGCTGATAGCTTCTTCTGTATCTGAATTGCGCTCCACATCACATTCGTCCTGTTCGCCTTCCCCACCGTTGAGCGCTGGTGTTTGTGGTGATGTTCTGGGTAGTGGCGGTGGTGTGGTTGACGCACTGAATGACGTTTCGTCGTCCGTTGTTACGATGAATGTGGCGTCATTTATTTTTGGCTGACATAGATCATGCCCTACGACGTAATGGTTTGTGGACGCGACATCGGTGTTTATGTTGTGATTGTGGTTGGGGACGTTTTTGGAATGTGGTTGTTGTGTTTGCTCTTGTAGATGTACTGTTTTTGTCACACTGTCAATGGCCTCGACGGTATGCCTTTCCACGGTGTAGTCGTACTGCTGGAACTCCTCCTCTTCCTCGCAGAATTTCTCGAAATTCTTTGGTATACTTTTCGATTTGGTGCGTCGCAGCGTCGACGGTTCACAGTAGCCCGAGTCTTCCGAAAGATTCTCCGCCGAACTTTTACCGGCACGCTGGAATGCCATGATGCGGCCATTACGCGTGCCCGCCGTGCTACTCGAATCTGTCAAATCTTCCGCCGAGGGCTTGGATGCGGTTAAAATGCTATTGCCTGACGAACTGCTCGAGCTGGTAGATGACTCTGAGTCAGATTTTACTTCACCCACCGTCGCTTCCATCAAATTTGCCTTACTCGCACCGAATAGCACACGCTGATCGTCATCGAAATTCAACTTATCCAAATCGAAGTAGGTTTGATGTAATCGGCCATCGGAGGACTCGAAACGTTTCAACAGCGAGATCTGCGAACCACGTCGACTATTATTGCCCGAATTGCTGCCACTGTTGGCCCCACTACGCACGCCGTCTTCGACATTCAAGGCGCTGTTGCTGCGTGCGCCATCGAAACTGAGCAGCGATGGCGAGGAGTTGCCCAAACTGGACATGCTTGCATGCTGCTCCTGCAGTTGTAGTTGTCGTTCCAATGACTCAAACTGTATCAGCGAGGAGGAGCGACTAAGCGAGTGATACGATATGCTATCCGAATCAGAATATTCGTCGAAACGACGACTACCGGTGCTGTTACGTTGCGGTACCACCGGCTGCATCGGCTGACCCCAGCTGTCACGTGTGCAAGCTTCATAGGCGAGAAAGCGCTCCAAGCTGTTACTGTTCGCTTCATTGTTATCAAACGGACGTTGGGTGCGACGCAAGAGCACAGTGTCATCGTAACTGCCCGACACAGACTGTGCTTGGCTTTGTGGTTGTGTGTTGGCTGTTTGCGCAGCTAAACTCAGCTGGCCGCCGATTATAAAGTCATCACAGCGTCGCGCACGTTTGGCAGGACAGGCGAAATCGCGCTCTGAGATCGAATCGGGATCTGTAAGGAAAGCCGATTTAAGCAATTGGAATCAATTACATGACGTTTATTGTTACCTTTGTTAACTTCGACTCGTATGACAGAGCCGGTCTCCGATTCCGTTGAACTCCAAAAGTGTTCTCTGCTCTGCTCGTACTGGTTCCAGCTGTTTTGCGCGTGCTCCTCATCCTCCGACGTCTCTTCGAGTATTGGCTCCAGCATCTGTCTCGAACTGGACAAGTATATGGCATCTGTGGAAAAGAAAAGTTGGTTTTACAGTAGTTAAAAAATTCAAACAAGCAAATGTTCAAGTCTAAGAGTCAGACCTAAGCTTTGAAGACGCCATTTGCGCATTGCCACCCTTTCGAATGTATTGTTTTTATACCCTACAAGCTTATTTTAGTTCACTGCGTTTCTAAGCCACGCGTCGGCTCCCAACAAACACAAAAGCTAAACCGTTTCTAAACGCGCCCAATACACAACTAATCAAGAAGACCTTTTCAGCAATGTACCGCTTCAGCGGCTTCATCAGTTCGCAGTTGCAATGAGCACCAACACTGCGGCGGCGGTGGCTGGCACTGCAGCTGTCTCGCGTCTGATTGCATTCTGTGCTTATGTGTAGATGTACATATGTGTAGGATCACACTGATCGCGGGATCGCGGTGGGCGGAAAGAAATACTTTACAAAGACTGCAAGTCAGACAGTTTGGGAAACAGACGACGAGTCTGATGTTGTTGAAAACAACAAGCAACAACAAAGCAGGCGTAGAAGAAGATGAAAAATAAAGCAAAAGGCCAAAACAGTTCCAGTTTGAGGTACTGCGCTACAGGCAGCAGCATGGAAGTCAAGACAATTACCCATCTTCATCGTCTTGGGCCGCAGCGTTGATTTGTCTGTTTTGCTGCCTCGTGAATTTTCCCTTTTACAGTTGATCATTTAGCTGAAGCTGAGCCCCGGCCACCAGCACAACGCGTATGAGTCTCAAACTCAAAAGCACTATGTGCTATATACATACATACTTGTACGTACGTATGCATGATTCATTCATGATCACGATTCATTTGTGCTGACGTAGCCCTAGCTGACTTGCCTGAATCTCGAATGTTGGGCCTCGGCCGACAATCGTCGTTAATAATAAATTTATTAATTAAGTGCAGATAAAGAAGCAGCGGCGATGTTTGTTGTCGTCGTCGTCATTTTTGTTGTTGTTGCTGTTGCTTTAGCTTGATGTGCAATGACGCGCAACAGCGCTCAACATCAAAATGCCGGTAAATGTCAGCATTTGTGCAACAACAAAAAAGCTCTTTCATGTGCCATTTTCGGCCTTCGTCTGACACTCGTAGTCAGTCGGCGTCTTGATAGGCGTAGTACCGCCCAAGTCAGCTTTGGCATTTAAAATATTTGCTTTTATGCTTAGCATTGCAATTGCTTACCCGGTGCGAGCGAATGCTGCAAGATCATGAGGAAGAAAGTTTGATTAGCGCTACTGCGGTCATTTCTTTTATTTATGGCAAATTGCGGTAATTTATTAACTGCAATAAACGAATTGCAAAATTATGTGACAAATGAACTTGTCCATAGTCGTACATAACCTCAAATTAAAAAAAAATATGAAATGAAAGCATAAATTTCTAATAATTGGGAGGTCATAAATGCTGAAAACTTGCGTACATGTTGGGTTCTTCGAAGACAATTTTATCTAAACCGAAGAGTTAAAGCTCTTCTCTCAGGATATGTTCCCTGGCAACTCTTAAAAGACTCAACTGATATATTAAGCGATACGTTCACTTCACTTAGCATTTCAGTCTATTATAATAAAATAAATGAACTCCATGTTCCTCTTCTTTTAGCATCTACTATTTGGCGTACGTTCTAGTTTAAATCTATTGAGTCGAAAATCGGGGATACACTGGACAATTTGGGAAGCTGGATATAAGCTTTTCGTGGCTTCAGCATAATATTATAATAAAATATTCATTGACCTCACCTATTTAATTTGTATACTAATTAAGCTTCGTCGTAATGGACCAGCATTAAGCTTTATGGTATTTATTGTATCAAAATCATGGAATGTTTGAGATCTAGTCTTAAATCTACTTTTTTACATTAAGGTTCCAAAGTCTGAAGGTAAATTTAGTGCTTCATTACTATATGTCATACTATTTCTCTGGTAGGTATCAAAACAGTTGAGAGAAGCTTCTCGATTATAAAAATCGATCATAAAACAATAAGGTGATGGACGGTTAACTCTACTTTTAAATCAGTTTATCAGTTTATTGACCAGTTCAAAGAAATAAGTATTGTTTGAAGACCTTGACCTCTAAAGCATGAATATAGTGTTAATTATATTGGTAAAGAACTACTTATGAATAAAGAATTCTACTTCTTAGCTGAGAAAAGAAAAAGAAAGAGAAAGGAGAACAAAAGTAAGCCTTAGAAGAACAATATATATATTTATATTATTTGACAGGTTTCGCATGCCCTGACGTTCGGCATGCAATACTCCGGTACCCTATAATATCTAGTCCAAAAACTCTATCTATTTATCTATCTCTATCTTTACAAAATACACATTAAGACACAATGTCCAGAAATAACCAAAATATGTACTTGTAACACAAACTTTTCAAGCCACAATCTGCCAAAAACACAATGTCGAAAAGAGATATGCATCTGAATGCTATATCTGCACAGTGGGGCGCAAGTGATCAAAAACTAGGACAATTTATTAAATATAAAAAACTTATTAAAATATTCTAATTCTTGTACTGATAAATATCAAACTACCGAAAAAAAATTAATACCAAACATTTTTTTAATTAAAAAATAAAAAATAATAATTAAAATTTAAAAAAATAATATTAAAAATAATTTAAAAAAAAAATTATAAAAACAATTTAAAAAAGAATAATAATAAAAACAATAAAAATAATTTAAAAAAAATAATAATAAAAACAATTAAAAAACAGAATAAAAAATTTTAAAAAAGTTGTTAAAAAACTAAATATATTCCCTTGCACCCCAAAGTAGGCAAATTTTCTGAACTCTTTCCTTTTGAACTGCTATATGTTTTGATATATATAACGTTTCTTCGTTCTTAATGTTCTTCCAACTTTATCAAATATCACTTGAACCCACATAATGTAAACCTGTATATATTTATTCCTACTCACCTTGTTGATCGAATGCCGACATATTCCATAATGCTGGTGTGTTAATCACACCAGCTAAATCCAAATGCTCCATGTTTTTTTGTGTGTAGATTTTCTTATAACCGAAATAATTTTTATTAGATTTGGAAATCTTCCTCTCCCACTGGTTCGCTGCTTTAATTATTCCTTGAGCTTAAATGTAAATCCTTTTTTTCAGCTCACAAATCTATTGTCTCTGTTATCTGCTTTTGACGTCAGCTGCAGCGAGCGCATGCCGTTATCGTTGCAATTTCGCTGCTTATGCAATCAACCTCCAAGCGTTGGGCGAAAATGCTTGGCGTAAATGCGTTTTTGCTTCTCTTGCAGTGACTTTCCGCAATAAAATCGCAATTCAGACGTTCTTCGTCTTTCTAACGGCACACACTGCAATTAACAATCAATTTACTTTTTGTTTGTGTTTATGTGTGTTTGTATGTATTTCGCGTGGAATTTTTGTTGCCTGAATTCCGTCTTGATGCTTTAACACGTTCGCTTCGATTAAAATGGCAAGCGGCGATCTACTTCCACGGCGCAAAACAATCCTAGCTATTTCTCTTTTGTTTATTATTATTCGGTTTCTCTATGTAGTAAGAGTTTGTATATATGTATGTCTAATTGCTTTACATACAGCACCAAGTTCAGCATTCGTACAGAAGTTAATAAATTTTCGATAAGCGAAAATGATATCTGAAAAGATAAGAGTGTAAATTTGTATGTAAAGAACCGTTAGCTTTAAATAAAAGTGATTAAGAAGTGTTGTTGTTAATGTTGCTATATTTGTATGATGAACGTCTACGAGGCCAAGGTGTTTTGATTGCATTAACGCATACATTAACGGTGCTGCATAACTGAGTACAAGCAAATGTGTGTATTGAGGAATTTTGAGCAGCTGTCTGGAGCAGTGGTTCCCAACGAAAACTAAGTGGTCAGGTTGATCCACCAGAAAATATATTTTTTGTAATAATACGAAATTTTTTTGTAATATTGAAAGCCTTTCAAATGACACAAAACAGTTCTCAGAAATAATCTTGATTAAGTACTTTTTCTGTCATTTTCCATTCTTTGAGGAGAGAAGCGACTTAACTAAATTTAAGTGACAGTTTCTCTGAGTTATATAGCCTGTGTAGTTTCAGTTCTAATTTTGTATATCTTCAAGCGATCTTAGCTACCAACAAGTTTGGGAAACACTGCCTAAATGCTGCTATATATACTACATATATGGGTATGTATGCATTTGCGAATGTCATGAAAGTGAATTGCAAATTTATTTGTTCATATAATGGAATTTTTCTCTGACTAAGACGAGTACTTTCCCGGATCACTGGCCGGGGAGTGAAACGCGCACACAAAAAAAAAATAAATTTAATAAATGGAATCAAGTAATGGAAAAAAACGTTAACTTCGGTTGCGCCGAAGCCGAAGATTTAATCCTTCACGATGAAAATGTTACAAGAACTTGATTTTGATCGATTGGTTTGTATGACAGCTATATGCTAAGCATGTGGCTGTGATCTGAACAAAATATTCGGAGATTGTGGGGTTGTCTTATATAATAATATGTTTCAAATTTCGTTAAAATTTCTTGTCAAATAAAAGGACTTGTTTTTTGATCGATTATTGGAAGGAAAACGACGTGTCCAAAATTTCCGCTCGATATCTCAGCAACTGAGGGGCTAGTCGCGTATATACAGATAAATGGATTGATACACAGACGGACATGGCAAAATCGACTCTGCTCGTTAATAATGCACATACTGATCATTTATATATACTATATTCATATATACTGTATTTATATATACTATGGTATCCGACTTTATACAGTGTATGATAAATGAATTGGTAGAATAAAAAATATAAAACTATAAAAAAAGTCTCTAATCTGTTTTGACGCAGATTTTCAACAATTGAGTGTAAATATACACATAGCCACATAAGCCCGTACATATATTTTTACTCTAGAAACAGGTGAGCAGCACGTAGGAAATTTTTGTTTTGCACTATTTTTGGATTACTGATCAAATATTGTGATGGAAGCAAGCGAATTTTCTACTATTTGCTATTGCATTTTTTCGAAATTTTTATTGAACGTTATATCATTTATACACATATATTATATATACATATATCATGCCATTTCCAAATGTTCAAACTAGTAATATATGTATATAATTATTTACTTGTGAGAACTGCACGAATGCATTTATTTTTATCTACAAAAATATATATTTCTGTAAACAAATATGCCCATGCAAATCCAAAAGCGCATTCAGAAACAGCCAATCAATTTGTGGCCTGCACGAATTACTACAAATTTTTGGAGCGCTTTCTAAACAGCTTGAGAATAATGAGATCATCTGCTTTGAAAAGGAAATATTGCTTAAGAAAGTTTGAGCAGGTCAAGGTTAGATTTACATGAATTGGACAGCTTGGCAGCTATATGAAAACTAGACACTAGTTCCGAGAGTCGTAGATATATTTTCATAAAGCAATGACCAGGCCTACTATTACTATTCCATCGAGTAATGTGAATCAGCGTTGTTAAAAAAAATCAATTTTTTTTTAATCTTTTTGCTTATAAAGGCTTTAACCAGGCTGTTTGATTCTAGAGTCGTCGATATTTGAGGCTACATTCGCGAAGTGTACGAATCGCTCGTTCGCCAGATTTTAAGTGGCAGCAGGTAAATTATAATTTAAAACGTCACATCAGAAAATTTATTATATATTTCTATAAATATATCAAAGGTAACACTACGCTGGATAGTACGTTAGTCTGTTCTTCCCAGCAAATGTTACTGTTGCGTAATTCTGACATTATTAGAAAAGTCATATCTGATGAGTCCGATGGTTAGGAGTTTTACATCTGAGTCATTACAGCTGCAAAGCTAAACTCAATCCCGTCTCATGCGTCCACATCGCAAACCCTGGGCAACGTGAACAACTTTTGTACGAGATTTGGTAACAAACCCTATATAGGAATATATAGGAAGTTACTTTAATAACTTTTTGATGATTCTTACACAATTCGGTACTTTTCAAATGTTACTAATGTTTTATTTTTGTTTTTCTTTTTTTTCTACAAATTTCCTTAGCATAATTCGTGCGTAAACCGCAATATTCGTTTAACTTCGTGTGCGAAATTTCAACATCGTTCGATTATAAAAACAAAAAACACAGTTACGACAATAATTTTCGCGCCACTAAACAACTTCACGCTTTTTGGAATGGAAACACGAAAAAAGCAATTCGGTAAATGACTGCTTCCCGTCCATTTCGACCAACTTTCGTTGCGGACATTCGTTTCGATACTACTCGGAGAACATCATTTAACATTTTAGTGCAAAATTTACATATTAGTTTATATGCCAAGATGCCCGAAAGATTTTCATAAATACAAAATAAGCGATTTTATAAGAAAAACAATGATAATTTTTCAAAAATCGCTAAATTGCTGGGCTTTTGCCCGCGATTATGAGTGTCAGTGCTTCATTAGCGTTCTAGTGCAAAAGCCTTTTGTTGGCGATTTTTCAGAGTTAGGGCGAGGGGGCTGTGGCGATGCGGTGGCTATTGGGCGCTGTGTATGGACATCTGTATTGCCTCACTTTAGAGACGATTGTTATTCTTGTTGTACCAGGTTGAGGTGGAGGCATTTTGTAGTTGTGGGCATGACGCAAAGCGAGAAGCGTAGAAATATATATAAAAAAAGAGCTATCATACCTTTCTATTGCTTCTTCCCAACCACTTACATATGTACGCGTATTTTCATGTATATACATGTGTATATGACTATATCTATGGCATTATAGGTGTTTTAAAGTGTGTCTTTTTCCTCTGACGTGTGCGCCTCTTAGGATTTTCAGCGTCAAATTTTATTTTTAAATTTTTTATTATTTTTATTTTGGTCTTAATTGTTTGTTCAGCGTCCGCTGCCATTGTTTCTGCTTTTTCTGATTTGATAAAGCCGCGATAATTTATAGTTATTCATTGATATTTTGTCAGTTTTTGTGCATCGTTATTTGAAGTGCGTGAGGGATTAAAATTTGAAGGGTATATTCATGTATATATAAGTACATATATGTATGTTTGTATGCATGTATATATATTTTTGTATAGATATACAAGTATATTGACATAACTGGATATCATTCATTTTGGTGTATTGAAAATATTGACAGTTTCATTAGCAAGACTTCGAAAAAAATCCAGCACAAAAATTATCCAAATAAAAGCATGCCGCTCACAGGGTGTGGTCGACAATAAAATATTTTTTATAACACCAGATATTGTTTCTATATAAAAAAAACTTTATCTACAAACACAAAGTCCAAAATTTACATCAAACCACAAGACTACAGTATCGCGCTTTTTGTGTTTTGAGCGTTAGATTTTTATACTTGGAATAGTCTTTATAGTTTGCCACGAAGTATCTAATACCCGGAAAGAACCGTCGGTTACCTTGGAAATGATAATCTGAATACTCGTTTTTACTCCCCAAGAAGCTGCTCATTTGTCGGACCCGCCGATATCGGAACACTATAGCATATAGCTGTCATACAAATCGACTGTTCAAAAATAAGTTCTTGTATGGAAAACCTTTTTATTTGACAAGATATCTTCTCTAAATTGCTGCAATCTTCGAACATATTGTTCAGATCAAGACCATATTGATCGATCAAAGTCAAAATAAGGATATCTCTTATACCCTTTTATGCTATTAAAAATGCATCTTTGAAGGGTATTATAGCTTCGGTGCGGTTCGAAGTTAACATTTGTCTTGTATTTATATGAAAAATGTTTGTAGATATACAATGAAAAGTGTGCGTTTCCTGTCTTGAGACTTGAGTTCAAATTTTTTTTCAGAAAAACATGTATCTAATTGGGTTCTAAATGCGCTATCTCAGTTTCGGGGATTTGATGAAAGTGGTGGTTTAGGTTTTCATAGCAATAATTCAAAGCGATTTTACCATGTTTTCGAAAAAACCTTCAAATAAGGAAAGAAAGCCTTTCTGGTAGAAAAAAAATTGCATTTTCTGTTGCCTTTAAGATTAACTGAACAATCAATTTGTTTAGTTTTCATACGACGAGTCTAAGTACAATAAGTTCGGAGATGACCTGAACATACAATAGTAATAGAATCTTCTTCTTCTTTAAAAATTTCTTTACTTATAAAGAAAGAGAGTTTTTAATGACCTGGCAAAGAGCGCAGGCACATCAGCAATAACGGAATCGTTGAAGTGCAATCACAACTCGTTCTTGAGAGAAAATACCAGTGATCCTAGCGACGCTGATACGAACATTCGCGTCAATAATCCAAAGCAATTGAGGGAGGTACGAAGCAGAGACGATCAATTAATCAAAGTAAAATTAGAAAGTAACTGAGTAACTGTTACTGACAGCACACCAATATTATAGCACTGTTAACAGTAAATAACTGAAGGGGATAGTGCCGATTCAAATCAATTGGCAATACTTATTGAGCACTTATCGATTTAATTGAAAAATGAGAGTTGCTGATTATTTTTTCGCAATTAAAATAAAATATGTCAGAGATGATTTGTTGTCATACTGAATTTAGTTGTTAGGTTGCACATATGCACATATGTATTATATATGTATACATACTTCCGCTGCATTTGCATTACTTTCTAAAGCTTACTTTCAAGTAAAAATACTTTGTTTCTATTTTT